TGAAAGTTCAACTGGATCAAAGCAGTTTAAACCCGGTTCAGATTCACATTTTAGTTTTTCAGATTATCACAAATCAAGTCATTAACTAGCTGACTTTTTGAAGAAAGAAGTCTTATGTTAAATAAACCGATTTTAATAGTTTAAGCTTTTTCCCCTGATTGGATTTATTTTAATTTTAATTAGATTATTATGATTTAATTCTTTTGGATTCTTTATAATTAATTTTATTTTGTTAATGGGCAAGACACTGTCTTCTTAACACTTTTTCTAAACCACAGCAATTTAACTTCCAAAAACTAATAATTGAGTAAAGAATATTAAAAACATAAAATGTTTCAGCACTCAAAAAACATGAAAAATGAAATATATATATATATATTAGAAAAAAACATTTATAAAAAAAAAAAATATTAAAAATTAAAGTCCTTTTTTTTATTTTTCAAGGTATAATTTCTAGATTTAAGATGATAATAAATTCACTTACAAAATCTACTCTTTTCTTACAACAGTAATGAAGCTAATTCACTGCATAACAAAGCTGCATAAAATGAACACATGTTGCCATTGTCATCATCAGCTAGTCTGTAACTGAGCGTCTGGAGCAAATATTCAGCAACTTTTAAATCCTTTTCTGTTTTGATGCACCTAAAACTAATGTTTACAAGTTCTGCAGAGGCCGGCTTTGAGTTATTTAGCTGAGAACAGCTGAAATTGGGTTCTTTGTAGCCAGAATTATTGGAATATCTCACTGTTAACCATCAAGGTGCCAGGGTGATCATGGCCTGCAGAGACATTCCTAAAGCCTACACTGCCGCAGATGAGATTCGACAGAAGACTGGGAACGGTAACATTGTGGTGAAAAAACTGGACCTCGCTTCGCTGAAGTCTGTCAGGGAGCTGGCCAAATACGTCCAGGAGAACGAGAAACGCCTCGACGTCCTTATTAACAATGCAGGTCTGTGGCAAAACTTCAAACTTTGTTTTCTGTTGCAACAACTCACTTAACTGTTTTAAATCTGCTGGTTATTGCATTGATTTAATTCCATTTTCCTTCCCACTAAGGTATTATGATGTGTCCTAAGTGGAAGACAGAGGATGGTTTTGAAATGCAGTTCGGGGTCAACCACCTCGGACCTTTTCTTCTCACCAACTGTCTCCTGGACCTGCTGAAGAAGTCGGCTCCAAGCCGGGTTGTCGTCGTTTCAAGCGTCGCTCATGTGACAGGTTGTTTTTTTTCCCCACATTTCACAAAATATATTCCAGGTTTGCTACCGTTTATGGATTCTAGAATATGATTTTCCTGCAGGCAGCATACACTTTGATGACATTAACCTGGACCGAAACTATGATAATTTGGTGAGCTATCGACAAAGCAAGCTGGCAAACATTCTCTTCGCCAGGGAACTGGCTGCAAGACTGCAAGGTGAACATACGTCCTCACTTCAAGTAAACTAATTGTTCCACATGTTGATGTTAACATTTATAACGATGGCTTCTTCCTTGTAGGCACTGGAGTAACAGTGTACAGCCTTCACCCTGGTTTCATTCGCACTGAGTTAGTGCGCCACCTGTTTCCCCAGTGGGCTTGGTGGAAGAAGATGTTAGCCTCCGTTGCAATGATGATTGTCAAGAGTCCGTGGGAGGGAGCGCAAACCACCATCTACTGCGCCGTGGAGGAGAGTCTGGCAAACGAGAGCGGCCTCTATTACAGGCAAGTGAATGTGTGCGGTGATAACGGCAACTTTCAGACGCGCTGCATTTTTATTAGGGGTGGAACGGCTCACAAAATCCACGGTTCGGTTCGGTTCACGGTTTCGTGGTATATGTTTATTGTTACACGTCTGCTACACCCGGCTACGCTGCTTCACTTCTTCTTCTTGTTTACTACTAGGGGTGTAAATAATAATCGTTTTGTATCGATGCATCGATCCAACAGCCGACGATCCGATGCATC